AAAAAGTTATGACAAGAGTGGGATTCGAACCCACGCCCCTTTCGAGACTAGGAATGTTCTGAAGAACATGGATGACCAGGTGACCTGACCCTAGCGCCTTAGACCGCTCGGCCATCTTGCCGGTTGATGAAAATTAGTCTCCAACAAGTGTTATATGAGCTAGCTGTCATATTTGAGAGAAAAGCCGCTACGCAGTTGTCAATGAAGGTTGGATAGTCATGATATGCATTACTAACCTAGGTTATTGCGTGTAGCAGCACCTATATATGTTCTGCTTTGATATACCTGTTTTAATATTTAATTTTATGTGCGTTCACCTTGTTGGTGCTGGTGTTGGGATCAAGTGGCTGATTGACCTTTGGCTTGGTATATATACCCATAGGAACCAGTACTACTAAAGGCAATAGTCCATCGATTCTACGCTCCATCATCATCGGCCACCCTTCAGTTGATCCCTTAAAAGAAATGGTAGCCTGACCAATGCCACACGAAAAGCACGCTCAAAGTACACAAAAGGTGAAATCCGCAGGATGTACATTGCACCAGCATACAAGCAAAGCTACGCCGTCCCTGAAGGCTCCGCCAACAATGTAAAGCAAACCCAGTCACCAACAGGACAGATGCCATCAGAAATAGTTTCAGCAAACACCTGCATCAAAAGAAATAGTACTACTAGTGTATACAAACGCTACAAAGGCACTGCCAGGGAGACAGAGCTACGGTAGCTCAGCAATAGATTCCCCGTGCCATGTTTACTTCCCAGCCGACGCACCGTAACAACAAGACCGGAAGGTCCTACATAGAACAAAACGATCGTCGGAATTAGAAATCTACTAGAAGGAAGCATAAGAACGGCATAAAAAGAAAAGAAAATAAAACATCGTGTACAAAGTATTGCCTGGAAAAAAGCAAGCAATAGACTAGTAGACCAGTTCGCATATTATCCCACTGCATGGGTCTGTGGACCTCCCTCACTGCACAGAGTTGCTCAGTCTCATCCTGGTTTGAATGTTATGATGTAATCTTGGATTATGTATTGTAAAGTTGCTGCCCCTTTCAACAATTGGGCAAGATGGCCGAGCGGTCTAAGGCGCTAGGGTCAGGTCACCTGGTCATCCATGTTCTTCAGAACATTCCTAGTCTCGAAAGGGGCGTGGGTTCGAATCCCACTCTTGTCATAACTTTTTGCATTTTTTGCGACTTCACCCAATACAGTCGCCTAGCTGTACAATGCTAGTTAGAGGAGTATATAAGTCTGTTTACAATGCAGGCCAGAGGCCCCTCTATGTTTTCGTCGATATACAACTACTACAACGCAACGTGATCAGCAGCGCTGTCCTTCCCTGTACAGAAAGTACTCCCGAGGCAGCAAGGCCAACATTGTAGAGCGGGAGACCCTATCTCACTACCGCCGAAGGATTACCCCCCCAACATCTTCTCTTTAACTTGTCAGCCATACACCCATTCTTCAATTGGAAAGCGTTCCATGCCTGTCTACGAACATTCGTTCACAATAAACGGCCGGTCATGCAGGCTAATGCCAAATTGAACAATGGTCATAAATCGGTTCACATTAGCACATCAACCATCTCATACTAGTCGGTTGGTTTCCTGCAACCAACTGAAACTAACGGCACGGACTTTCTTCAGGCCCCTATAGCTCAAACTAAAACCGACAAGTGACCCTCTCGAGGAAACACCCCCAGCACTATGCGCGGCCCAAGAATTCGTCAACAACCTGCAGGTACTTCTCGCGGTCGTCGAACTGCGGGCAGTGCGAACCGTCCGACAAGGTGATCCACTTCACCTTATCAATACCCCAGAAGAGCGGTTCCACGGCGCTGTCCTGCGCTTCATCATATTTACAATTGATCACCAGTGTGGGAACCTGGATCCGGTGAATGCGGTCCAGTGCGCTCCAATTTTTAAGAGACCCTTCGACCCAGAATTCGGAGGGACCGAGCCTGCTGCCGTTAGCATGTGGCATCATGGAAATCACGGAGTAAAAAAGTGGACGGAGAAAGAACTCGGGCAAAGGTGCAACGCAACATACATGCTGGCAGCGACGGTAGAATCCTTCTCCGTGGTCCAGACGAGACTTTGCATAAGCTCCTCGGGCCATGGCTGTGTCCGGCAGCAGAATCGGGATAAGAACTCCACCGTTGCATCTTCATATTCCTTCGAATCAAGCCGCCCTTCTGCTTCGCACTTCTGCAGCGTGTCTTGAATCTCTTGGGGCAGGGTAGCGCGGAGTCGGTTGACTGATTCAAGCCACAGTGCGACCGAGGCCGGGGAGTTCGATAGGATCAGCCGGCGCAGTCCGGCCGGCTGACGAGCGGCGAAATCCATCCCCATCATTCCGCCCCAGGAATGACCCAGTAGATCAAAATGACCTGCAATACCAAGGTGCTGAAGCAGGTTTTCCAGCTCCGCGATGAATAGGTCGACCGTCCAGAACTCCTGATCGCCGCGTTTCTCCAGATAGTGGGAGGACAATCCATTTCCGATCTGATCGTATAGAATCACGGCACGATCGGAAGCCAGTGCAGCCAGGGGCAGCATGTAGTTGTGGCAAAAGCCCGGCCCGCCATGCAGGACTACTAATGGTGTGCCTGCCTTGATGTCGCCATAGATCCGGTACCACGTTTGGGCAGGCTGGGGAAGACTAGCATAATGGAACGGAGCTGTTCCCTCCTGAACAGTACTTGCCACCATACTGGGAAGATCGACGCAAAATGTTTGTCAAGGCAGTAATAGTATGGAGTAGTGATAACGTGCAAAGAAAAAGGAGGGGGTGAAGGTTCAGACAAAACAGCCTGTCTTGAGTTTGACACCACCACACCCAAGAGATTCCCCGAGGTTAGCCCATGGCCCGGCCCCTCCAGCTTGTGAGACAACCCCACCAGCACTATATCACTGTCACATTGAACTTGCGTCAATTAGACAAGGCCCCGGGCAAAGTCCGGGGTCTTTGAATGTCTATCAGTCAGCACCCTGTCTTCGAAGCATATGTGGGATGGGTCGGCGGCTTGATTAAGCCTCCGATTTCAGGGGTCTCTCCTGAATTGTGTGCCTCACTCCCTAGCAATTTGGCCCCTATATAAAAGTGCGGCACGCAAGGGAGAAAATACTGCGTGATGCAAGCCATGAGACGGCGCTGGTTGGTGGGCTGACTACTGCGGTCCTAGCGGATTTAGACGCCTCCACCCCGATCCTTCGTCGGGGTTAGGATCGCCGGGCTGAGATTGCTAATAATCCAACAAAATTCAAATAAAAAAAGATCGAACAAATCCTTCAGGTCGCCTTGCAACTACGATGCGTTGTTCCCTTTTATCAGCCTGGCTGCTCTTTCTGGTCCCAGATTCGAGGGATGCAGGCCAGCAACAGATGTGGCAGTCATGGTTGCGGTCACTGACGCCAATCGGTCCCCTATCATAGGGATCCTAGCCTTGCTTTTCGCCGTAATTTCGACATTATCTGGGGCTGCACGGCTGGGGATCAAATATGCCATCACTAGAAAATTTACGGTAGATGATCACCTGATCTCTGTGTCAATGGTGAGTCTCAAAACTTTCGTTGGCGTGTCAAGCCCTAACTCCAACGCAGGCCTTCAGTGTGCTACAGACAATATGCATTACCATCGCCGCGCGCAATGGCTATGGGGAAGCAGAAAGTGCTTCCTCACAAGAGCGAATTGATATAGCTCTGAAGGTACACCATCCAATTCTCCGGATTAATTGGTCGCTGACGTAGTCAGTCTGTTTATGCCGCAGAAATGCTATACGTTGCAAGCTTGACTTTCTCCAAGCTAAGCGCCCTAGCATTCATGACCTTTCTTATGCAGCGCACCCGCAAGGCTGAATGGGTACTCATTGCATTGATCAGCGCCTGGGCTGTGGCGGCGGAATTTGCCGTAGCTTTCCAATGCGATCTTCCGCAGCCATGGAGATGGAATCAGACGAGATGTTTTAATCGAGTGAGATACCATGCACTTACCGAATTCGAAGGATACAGACTAATCTCATGGTCAGGATGCCTGGTGGATGGTTTTCGGGGCGTTCAACATTCTAAGTGAAGTTGCCCTGATTTTAGTACCTAGTATGCTCATACTCCGGATTCAAATGGCGGTTCCTAGGAAGATAGTTGCCATCGCCTGCTTTCTCACTCGCTTCTTGTATGCTAGCTGGTGACAACCCGTTCGACGTCCGTGGACAGTAACTGATGCTTATATCATGACAGGGTCATCGTTGCGATCATTCTTGAGCTTGTATATCGCCATCAAAACAATCACGCCTCAGACCCCCTGCTGGCCATTTGGAAGGCTGCCGTCTGCGTCGAGCTAGTGCAGTGCCTGTCCATTGTCATGGCCTGCGCTCCGCACCTGAAGCCGTTCATGGACGGATTACAGTCCACTGGGCTCCGCTTATACTACCTCCCAGGCGAGACATCTGAACGCGGAGAGTACGCTCGCGTAAGCAAAGCGAAGGCTGCTGCACACGAGCTTAGCGGGCACGTTGGGGTAGCCAACAGCACCGCTGTCTCGGCAGGGAGGGAACAGCAGGATTGGGATGATACTATGAGCCACTCCAGCCAGGATCATATCATTCGAGAGACTAGAACCTGGGTCGTAGAAGAGCAGTATAGCCCGGATGCTGCGACAAACCGACCGATGGACAGTGAGTCCAATGGTAGCCATGGACTACACGAATCAATTAGCCATTAGAGATCGTCTTACACGGTACTATTTACATGCATTACGACTGGACGAATTATTCCACATTCAGATTCGAATTATCCCGGAAAGAAGCAGCGGGTTGGGCGATCTCCAGCCGTTCCCTGAGAGCACCTGGCACTTTTTTAAGGTTTTCAAGTTGCCTCAGCTTTCCCGGACTGTGGACCTTCAATTACTGTTTGCTTGTCTAAAATCTCTAGTTTCGGACCGGAGGCTGGCCCGTAATCCGACGGCACGAAGCCTAGCATCCCGGAAGTGGAAGCTTAACTCTCCCTAGTAAGGCACCGAACAGGGTGGACCCGCCACTAAAGACATGCAACCCGCCGAAGGATCCAGCAGGATTGCGCGGTGTTTGATCCTGTTAGGCCATTTCAGTGGTCCTAACAATGCTAACTATCGGGTGGCGCTCTGCAGCTTGACATTCTACCGCCCCTCGTCAAGTTTCTCCGGTTAGTAAAATTGTTTTCCTTCTATGGAGTTTAGACACATTGACCAGTGTCAGTTATGGAAAAAATCCAAGCGAGCCCCCGTTAATTCAGTTGAGGGCCTTTTGTCTCCGCTCCCCTTTTTTCTTTTTCTTCATCCTGCATATGCAGCCAAGCCGATTCTACACCGGATAAGACAGGGATCAGAAGACGGGAGGGGTTAACCGAAGGAACAAGCTTTGCTTTCGGTTTCCTACACATTCTGCTCTTGCTTTTATCTCCCGCAGTTGAAGGGGTTGACTTCGGGCATTTGCACACATAAGTCAGCGCCACAATGGGGCCGCCGATCGAGTTGCGCGACCGTAATTTGGATTCTAAGGCCGCCAACAGCAGCCAGTCTCAAGTCAATGATGAGCAGGGACTGGGCCGCGTGGGCAAGAAACAGATCTTGAAGGTACGTGATAACCATAGATTTGTGTTTCCACAGTGGCTTACCAGTGCTTACAGCGTCGGTTTGGTTTCTTGTCCATCTTGGGTTTCAGTTGTACGGTTCTGGCATCCTGGGAGGGCATTTTGTCGTGCGTATTTCCCAATTAACGGAAATATGGTGCGTCGTGTCTTTATTAACTGATGCTTAGGACGTTTACCGTACCTTTTGAGGAGTATGTATCGACTCTACATGAAGAGATACCTTAACCTAACAATGTCAACAGTGGAGGTCCTGCTGGAACGGTCTACAGTTTCCTGGTCGTCTGGCTGGGTACGTTTTCGACGTTTCTCACGCTGTCTGAACTGGTTTCGATGTAAGTACATCGACCTGATAACTAGCCGGCTCAATCTAAAATGCCTTTATGTGAAGGGCCCCTACTTCCGGAGGACAATACCACTGGGTATCGATGATGTCCCCGCGATGGTGCCAGAAGTACCTCAGCTTCCTCACAGGTTGGTGTACTAACCCAGCTTTCTCCGCTGCTTACCATACTGATATAGCTATCACTAGGATGGCTAATTGTCATTGGCTGGCTGGGAGCATTTGCATCAACCTGTTATCTAAGTGCTTCCCAGATTCTGGGATTGGTGGTCCTTAACCATTCGTCCTATACCCCGGAGCCCTGGCAAACGATGCTTCTGTTCTGGGCCATTGTGGCTTTTGCCGTGTTCGTCAACGTAATCACCAGCACCTTGTTGCCAAAATTCGAGGGTCTTGTCCTAATTTTGCACGTGTTTGGGTTTTTCGGAATCATCATCCCGTTGGTTTACCTGGGAGATCACAACTCTGCTTCTGAGGTCTTTGGGCAGTTTGCCAATGATGGCGGCTTCCAAACCCAGGGATTAGCTTTCATGGTTGGTATGATTGGTAACATGTTTGCCTTTACCGGTGTGGATGCGGCTGTCCACGTAAGCTTCAGCACCTTCAACCTGAAATGTCCTCTACTTGACTGACATACAACTGGGCAGATGAGCGAAGAAATTTACGACGCAGAGCGCGTTGTTCCGCAGTCCATCCTCACCTCGGTCCTGATCAACGGAGCGCTGGGCTTTGGGATGATCCTGTCCACATTGTTTACTATGACAGACGCCACCGCCGCACTAGCCTCACCCACAGGATACCCTTACATGCAAATCTTCTGCTCCGCCACCAAATCCCTCGGGGGATGCACCGTCATGTCAGCCATCGTCCCCATCCTAGTCACTGCCACCGCTGTAGGATCATTGGCATCTTCCTCTCGCATGGCATGGTCCTTCGCCCGAGACCGTGGTCTCCCCGGATGGCAAGTGCTCAGCAGGGTATGTCTCCCGTCCTCGCCAGCTCAAACAATCCACTAACCCAACCCTAGGTCAACGCTCAAGCCGTCCCGCAATGGTCCATCCTCGTCGTAACCAGTGCAGCCGTCCTGCTGGCACTAATAATCCTCGGCTCAGCAGCGGTCCTTAACGACGTTGTCTCTCTCTGCGTCAGCGCCCTCTACTCTTCCTACCTGATTTCAGCCTTCCTTCTGATGTGGCAGCGCCTTACTGGCGGTATTCGCGAACCATCTGATGCACCCACGGACACAGTTGTAAACACGGCAGGTGCGCCTCTTGCCTGGGGCCCCTTCAGACTGCGTGGCATATTGGGTGTTTCAGTGAATGCCTTTACCATTGCTTACCTGGTCGTGGGCGTATTCTTCAGCTTCTGGCCCGATGAGATGAATCCGACGGCTAGCACGATGAATTGGGCCGTTGTTGGTACCGTGGGTACGAGTCTGATTAGTACGGTGTATTATGTTATTTGGGCGAGGAAGGAGTATACGGGACCGGTGGTGGAGATTAATCGGGATTGAGATGACATGAGTTATGATAGATGGAGATATAAAAGTTGCTACAATCGGTACACAGAACGGCTATCGAGTCCTTTTATCAATCCCTACTTCCATTGCCAAATTGATCACGCCGTGTCCACTTGGGAGAGTAAAACATGAAACGCAGATTACATCTGACCCCACCCCTTCCGTCTGACTCAATGGGAACCAGCACCTCTACTTCGTCTCCTTGATAAGCGCCGCAATATTCTCTCTCTTCTCAAAGGCCTCCGTAAACCTAACAAGCGACTCGGGAAGATTTGCCTAACCGACGAAAAAGAGTAAGCCCTCTCTATACATACCCTCGAGAAATATATGCAAAGAAAGAATATACATACCACAATAGTCCCCGTCCTCCGATCATTATCCATAATCTGATAAATAGCGAAATCGGCATAGGTGACCTTATCCCCCAGAAGATACGGACCCTCCGTCTCGGCGTAGTACTTCCCCACAACATCGTAGTACTTGGCTGTGGACTCGTTCTTGTATTTCTCAGAGGGTTGCATGAAATTGGAGACCCATTCACTCTATATTACGGTGAGTACTAGCAATCTAAGATGGAAGATGGAGGGGCTACTTACTCTCCAATCAATATAAACATCCGCCACCGCATCAACGATATACTTCTCCCAGCTCGTTTCGCCATCGTAGCGGCCAAGGTCGCGGGATAGATAGCGGAGGGTGGGGATATGCTAGACTCGTATTAGATTATTCATACAATGACAATGGACACATTGAATAGAAGGCAATGCGCACCTGCGTCAGAATCTTCCCCTTATACTCAAGCGCGGGCACCAGTCCAGTTCGAGTGATCCCCTGTTCCTGCAGCTTCTTGCTAACCTGCGGCCAGTTTTCATCATACGGGTAGCGGACTTCGCTGAATTCGATACCGGCGTCCTTGAGGAAGAGTCTATCTCCATACATGGTATTCTGTGGTTAGTGGATATTGATGGTATGAGATGCGGGGGTGGGGTGTGGAGGTGGATGTTAGCTGACCTGACGACTTCGCCGCGGCCTAGACGGCCGATGTCGAGGTAGTGATAGACTGTTTGGGAGGATTGGGTGGACATGGTGACTTATGATTTGAGTGGGTTTGTTGGAATTGGAGTATTTCGGGTTTAAGTCAGAGACTGGCGATATGATGTGGATTGAGTACGATTATAGATGATGTCGATTAGGGGAAGGAGTGCTTACAAATGAGGGCAACCCCGCAGGGAAGGGACCTCTCGGGGATCCACTATATCGCCGACTTACTTGGTGTTGAAAGCTTGGCTCGGTCAAGTTGGTCAATTGGAAGATCTCGAACCTAATCCTTATCTAATATTAGGATGGATATACTAGGGTAGTAGAGATTGGATAGTATCGTATTGGTGAGTTTGATCCGACTACTACAGATTACGAGGTGGACTGATATACGAGTCTCTAGTACATCTCCCACCTCTTCTCTAGAATAGCACCGATACTTGCTTTGGAAAGCAATTACCCCCTCTTCCGTCGCAGAAACACGAAGTTGATCCAGCAATCTCTTTTACTGACATCATTCCTTACGATTAATGACGTGTTGCGTCGAGATAGCGTCCCAGAAGGAGTGCGTGTTGGAATGCAATTCAAGGGTCTGAAAGCTTTCATTTCGAAGTTGGCCTACATTGATCTCCATTTCTATCTAATGACTTTGTATGGCCACCATGAAACAGTAGTTTGTCCCCTCGTCCATAACCTCCACAACTGTTCCAGATTCTCTGGTGGGGTGATCACCAGCGGGCTTACCCGCAAGTTAATCAGGAATGCGGCCCAAATAGACAATGGAAAAAGATGGTATTTGATCCAGTGAAAGGACAACAATTGTGTTGTTTCAATTGATCAGTGAGAGATAGTCTTCTAATATCTCTGGCGCCAATAACAGGTAAGAGGAAAAAAAAAGCTTTCATGTAGCTGGGAGGTTTACTAAATGGCAAAAAAATAAAAAGTGAAAAAGAAAGCCCAACGCGGGGCTCGAACCCGCAGCCTTGAGATTAAGAGTCTCACGCTCTACCGATTGAGCTAGCCGGGCAAAGGGAAAGAGGAAGTTGAACAGCCCAACGCGGGGCTCGAACCCGCAGCCTTGAGATTAAGAGTCTCACGCTCTACCGATTGAGCTAGCCGGGCTAGTTCGGTGAAAGAGGCTTTCCATATAGGCTTTATGAGGCTTATTGAATGACACTGTCTTATGCCTGCTTCATAGTCTCACCAGCCCTCAACCTCTCGCCATCTACTACTTCGCACAAGTTAGCGTTCTACGTAAGACTGTGATATGATGTTATACATCTAAATACCACGCTTAATATATCACGCAGTATGCCACCAGCGAAGGCTTCATCGCGCGAACTGTAGTTCTGGGTGATCATTGTGGTGGGAGACAGATGGTAGTACGTA